GTAGATAATAGTAGTATATATATATATATATATATGATATATATATATGGTCATGGTCATATATTAGTTTGTGGTTTAATGGCATTTAGGTTAGGATTAGGGTTTGGATTATCAATCATTAATCATTAATGATATCAAAGGTGGGAACATTCCTAATGGAGCGTTAGCCAGATTTGCAGGATTTTTATATACTTTTTGCCAAAAAATCGTAAGGACTCGGAAATACTCGTAACTAACTCGTACCTATTCGTAACAACACGTAAACAGGTCGTAACTAACACGTAAAAGCTTCGATGAATCGTAATATATCCGTAACAATCCGTAAAAGCTCGTAAAATGCCCGTAAGTTGCTCGTAGTTATCCGTGATAACTCTTAACAAATCGTGGAATTTTGCCGTAAATACATCGTAATAACTCGTAATAATCCGTAATAAACCGTAATTAGCTTGTAATAACACGTAAATCGCTCGTAAAAGTGGCCAAATCGTAAAGATCCGTGTAGTTTTACGAATTGTGCGATCCGTAAGGACTCGTAAGAAAAATTCGTGTATGTGATAGGGGTATAAATATGAACTCTCTACGTGTTATTCTCGTAATTCTTTTGGACCTCAGTTCTACTTTTGATACTGTGAACCATAGAGTCTTGCTTAAACGTCTAAGCAACAAAATTGGAATTAGGGGAAAAGTGTTAGGTTTCATCTTACTTGTCTGAGCGTAATCAGCGCATCTCGTTTGATGGTGGTTGCTTTGGCAATTATCGGCTCCAAACAGCAACTTTTGAAAGTTAACGCTTCGTAACGGAGTTAAAGCTAACGCTTACGGATTTGAAAGTTCGTATTGGCAACTCTGATATCCATCCTGTTTCATCAGTGCGTAACTTATATTAGGATCCTGGTTCTAATTTATCCATGTCAATGCATTTAACCAAAGCCTGTAAGGCAGCATTCTTTTGGATACTCAACATTAAACGTATAAGTACATTTTTATCTAGCGGCAAACTAGCTACCAATACATGCTTTCATAACCCACCGACTAGACTATTGTAGCTCTCTTTTGTATAGACTTCCTAGCACTGAGCTGGCAAAGTTACAAAGAGTGCAGAACGCTGCAGCAAGACTGCTGACCTCAACTAGAAAATATGAACGTAGTACGCCTGTTTTACATGAACTGCACTGGCTGCCTGTTAAATCAAGAATACAATTTACAATTTTATTACTTAGCATTACATAGTTTAATTAGTCCCGAATTACATCAGAGATTTAATTACTGTTAGAGAACAGGGACATTATCTTCTGCGTTCAAATACAGTGTGCAGTATAGTGTTGCAAGTACCAAAAGGGAAGACGTTGCGGTCATTTATTTGGAGACCGCTCGTTTAGCATGGCAGCACCAAAGCTGTGGAACAAACTTCCGTCGACACTCCGCAATATTTAAACACTTGGGTCGTAATGCTAGCTTTGAAAGTACTAAATGTTGACCCATATCTTTAAATTAGCTCTTAAAGTATAGGATTTTATTTTATTTATTGATCAGATAGTCAACTTTGTTTTAATGTCATGTTATCTAGCAGTTGTGGCGATATATCTCACATGTACATAGTTATTATCATTTAATTTTATTGTTCAGTCGTTTGCGATATCGATGTACTGCGCTTTTGATCATTTGATGTAAAAAGGCGCAATATAAATAAATAAATAAATATATAAATGATCACGAACGTACACACTCTCGTTGATGACATGGGGAGCGGTGCCCCGCCTCGCTATGTGCTGGTTATTTAAACACTGCACGCCCTAGTCCTTGGCTACATTAGCAGCAGTGTTTCCTAGTGAGTATTCCAGCCATTTCTCCCCTTCTTCCTCTTTCTCTTTCTTTTTCCTGTTCTTCGCCAGGGTTTATTCGCTCGCTTTTCACGCTGTTCGTACTTCTGCTTATCATGTCCGAGTGTCCGCATACTCTAGATGTGTAAGATATAATGGCAATTCCTTTGCCGGTTATATGTTTGTCACACTGATCCGCCCCTTACTGATGATGTAGTATTGATAGTTCTAGTTTATCTTAAAAGTTGGATGAATTCCGCTGCAAAGACAGTTGTTAACCGTAGCTGGGCGGCCGAGTATGAAAAGCGTTTAATGTCCATGTATATTTTCTCTGTTTTCCAGCCTTGCTACTACTGTACGACGTGACCAATCGGCACAGTTTTGACAACATCAGGGTAGGTGCACATAGATCGTCGTGGTATATTCTCGCGAGACGTACGAAGTTTGCTACGAAGTTTGCGTGTAATTATCGTAACTGCTCGAAAACGTGTCTCTATTGCTTTAGCTACACGACAAAAAGCCGAGTGCATGTGAGCTCACGCAATTTCCTAGGCGCGGCATCAGAGCAAAACCCGTGTGTATAGCTCATGTACGGTCGTGTCGTATTACCTGAGTCTGAGTGAGCTTGATCATCCGCATCGTACCATGAGACATGCGCTGAAGCATTCTCTCTCTCTCTCTCTCTCTCTCTCTCTCTCTCTCTCTTTCTCTCTTAAGTTCTGTCTCTATCTCTCCCTCTCTCGCGCGCGCGCGTCCTCTATCGTTTTCTCGATGTATCGTTTTCTCTGTGTGTCTTTCTCTTCAATCTATCCGTCTATTCACCTATCTCTCTCTCGCTCTATCAATTTATCTATCTGTCTGTGGATCTATTTAACTGTCTATCCATGCATCTAGGCACCCACCTTTCTATACGCATAGACGCATGCATGCATTTATTCAATCAATGTACCCATCCATCCATCCATCCATCCATCCATCCATCAATCCCTCTTTCTCCGCGTCATCTCTGAATCGTGTCGGCGGGGTATGCACGATGACAGGTGCGTACCTAATTAAATACACACAGCTGAAAGCGCCCCGAATGACTATATAGGTTACAAATGCTATCCGTGAATCGTAAATTAAACATTTTTATCGTCTGCTTTTGGTTCGCGGTTAGTACTTTTAACGAGAAATACATGCGACTACTCTCACCCGATCGATAAGAAGTCATTTTGCAAATGGGACAAAAAATTCCGATCCTGCTACTTCTTGTCCTATATAGAACAGGAGTGGATATCCTTTGAGCGTGGTGAATTTTCGGGAAAGGCACGCCAAAACGGAGAGGAGGAGGCAGTTTGACGAGTAACTATGGAGAGGAACGCCAACAATTAGTGGTTTTTATTAATATAGCTGCGCAGTGTATGTGTGTATGTGTGTATGTGTGTATGTGTGTATGCGTGCATGCGTGCGTGCGTGCGCGCGCGCGCGTGTGTGTGCGTGCGTGCGTGCGATATGACTTCATATCTCATTTTTGCACGCGATAGTTTCCTTCGCTTTTCGCTGGTTCTATTCTGTTACCGCCTCAAACGTGCATCTATTTCAACCGTACCATCTACTAAACACCTTGCTAGCGAGCAGCATTGAGCGCCCACTATAAAGAGTCTCGGGAGGTTTCTCTGTATTTATTCATAGTCTCCATATTGGACGGGAATCACATTGGTGAGTTAGGTGGGTTTTAATTGAATTCTGGGGTTGATGGGGTTGTGCGCCTTGTTCGCGGTAGCGTCGACCTTTTGTACCGTACAGCGTGGGCTGCCCAGATACTCGAGTGTTCCGTTGTGTTTATTCATATCTGACAACTCAATCGCGCTGCGTTGGCGGGTTTTAATTGAATTCGCCAGTGCGAAGGTACGGCGTGTTGTCGTCTGCGAACGCGACCTCATGTGATTGCAGAAATCTGCTGAGAAAATGCTGCTTCGTCACCCTCGCTCGCGCTCGGCCCGACACTGCGATTGGATTCTCCTCATGCTATCGGCATATTTGTCATCGTCGTTGCTGTGCTCGGGGCGGGCGACATTATGTTGTCCTGTTGTGCGACTAGGTGTCGCGTACGACAATGACGCTGTCTGCTGCTCGTCGGATCGTGTGAGTGTTTGAAAGCGGGAGTGTGTGAGACTCATGGGAGCTTTAGAGAGGGAGAGTATGTATGCGACCTGTGTATAGTATTCGAGAGCAGAGGTGAATGTTGTTTTTTTTAGAGCGGGAGTGCATGCATGACTTGAGCACGGGGTTCTAGGGATGAGGTATATGGAGTTGCTGGTTTTTAAGAGCAGCTAGGCTGCATGTATGTGAGACTTGTGAATGTTTAAGGGCGGGCGTGTGGCGTGGCACTATTTTCTCTATTGAAGAGAGCGATCACGAAAGAGCATTTGAGAAAGTGGAGAGTGAGGGCGCAAGCAAGAGAAAGAAAGAGAGAGAAATAGAGAGAGAGAGAGAAAGAGAGAGAGAGAGAGAGAGAGAGAGAGAGAGAAAGAGAGAGAGAGAGAGAGAGAACGCGCATGCGAGAGGGGGCCGGGAGAGTAAGAGAGCAAGCAAGAGAAAGAAAGAGAGAGAGAACGAGAGAGAGAGAGAGAGAAAGCATGCGAGAAGGGGAAGTGAGAGAGCAAGCTGGAGTAAGGAAAGGAGAGAGAGAAGGTGGGGGGATGGGAAGAGGAACAGAACGGACCCGAAGCGTGGATGACAATATGTGAGCCATTATACAGCCACACACACAACTTCAAACGACAGCTTCACACAGCAACCGACATCTCAATATCCACCATTGACGCAACATGGCACAGCGAGTGCATAATTATATGTATACCACACCTAGCCGTAGCTATGTTGTCGGTACATACAATACTGCATCCGAACACAAGAGTAGGTTTACCTTGCGTGCGTGCGTTCGTGCGTGCGTGCTCGTGCGCCTGCGTACGTGCGTCATGCGTGCCCGTGTGCCTGCGCATGTGCGTGCGTGCCTGTGCGCCTGCGTATGTTGTGGTGTTGGGCAGTCTGGAATGGCCGCGGCATCATGTACGCGGTGTATGCGACAGGCGGTGAATGAGCGCGTAGATCCCTGTAGTTGCTTCCGTATTGGTGATGCTGTGACAAAAGAGAGATACACATATGCACACGCGCACACGCAAATGCGGGCACACACGCGCACTTAATTGTATCTTGCCTCGAAACGAAGTTCGTGGGATACTAGTGGTCATCTCGCAGGATGCGCCGCCGTCCGCCGGCCGCCTGCCGCCGCAGAGATTTCCTATCGTGAACGCTCTACCTGGCTGCATTCTACCTCGGATCATCTTCAAATTAAAGAGTCGTATCAGTAAGCGATAGACGCCTATTGTTTTGGTGTGGGGCGAGTCATGGGCGTTGGCCAGTGGAGCACTTCATTTTTGTCGAAATATTCTAGAACCTGTAAACTTCTGCCACTTTTTACACTGATTGTCATGAATTATACTTGTATTAAAATGTTATTAAAATTTATGATTAAAATTAAATAAAAAAATAATAATATGAAACAACGATGACTCCGCTCACACCCAAAGACGGATTGGCGTCTTCGCTTATCATAACGCACCTTCAGATAAGCCGAAATTGAAGATGAATCCGAGAGTCGGGTAAATAATCGGCCCACCAGGTCAACTGACATTTAGTTTCAGCCTTTACCTTGACCCTGACCTATGATCCATGATGTTTGTGGCGTTGCTCTTCCGCTCGTCTAGAACTGCAGCCCGCTAAATGTTGACCGTAGCGCGAACCTAAACTTGGTGAAATGGGCTTAGCAACATTGTGGGAGAAGGTCTGTCGCATGCCAAAACCGACCGGCCGCACCACTGGCGCCCTTGAGCCTTAGTGATACCTGTCACCGTCGACGTCTGAGCTTTCGCTCTTCGGCGTTCTAGGTCAACCAAGCTTCCATATACTTGCAGCATCTGACGTGGCACCAACCAGTCTGTCCTAACAAACCTTGTCTTGTGACTGTATAACTTTCCGACTGCCTCTAAGTCGCTAGCAGAGATTATTCAGGTTCAGAACTAGGAGTCAGCTGGGGTACATGTAGGTGTGGCCGACACTTCGTCGTATTCTAGTTATATAGCTCTTTAGTGTGGTAGCTAACGTTTGTAGTGGTGTTTGTCGTGTCGAGCGCGGATTATGATATTCATTATTCTCATTAAATCTATCGGGAAGCTGTCTATAGGCGATGCACGTGGTTTTCGTATAAGCCGGAGCTCATAACATATTGGTGTAATATTCTCGTCCTAGCCGATAGCCCCCATAATCCGATTAGCTCCCGTGAGTCCGGATAGCTCCCTGATCGAGTAGCTCGCCGTTTATTCGGATGAGTCCGGGTGATGCCATAGTAGCTCCCGTGATTCGAATAGCGGGCCCGTGATCCGAATAGTCTCCCGTGATCGGATACTCCGTGACGGAAAGTCTCTCCGGTATCGATAGCGTCCGTGATCGATATGCTCCCCGTTATTCGAATAGCCTCTCCGGTGATCCAATAGCGTCTCGTGTATTACGAGTAGCGTCCCGTGATCCGCAATAACGCGCCCGTGCATTCTGAATAGCTCCCGTATCGGATAGCTGCCGCGGGGAGTCGGATAGCTCCCGTGGATTACGATAGGCTCTCGCGGATTTCCGGATAGGCTCCCTGATGCGATAGCTTCGCCGTTATGCCGATAGGCTCTCGTGATGTGGCCAAGAGCTCCCCGTTATTCGATAGCTCCGTGATCCCGATAGCTCCACCGCTGATCGATGAGCTGCCTAGTATTCGATAGCTGCTCGTATCCGAATATGGCTCGCCGGTTATGCGGGATAGGCCGCGGGTGATCCAATACGCGGCCGTGATCGATACGCTCCCGTGATCGAGCTCCGTCTATCGATACCTCGCGTGATTCGCAGTGAGCTCCCGGTTATTCGGATAGCTCCCGGGTGATCCAAATAGCCTCGGTGATTACGCATGAGGCTCCCGTGATGCGCAATAATCGCCCGTGAGTTTCGATAGCTGCGCCGTGATCGGATAGCTCCCGGTGATCGATAAGCGTCGCCGTGATCGTATATGCTCCCGCGTGGAATCCGAAGTAGCTCCCGGTATCGGATAGTCGCCGTTTGTCGGAACGGTCAGACCGTCCGGTCGATTCCAAGCACTCCGTTATTCGAGTGTGATGCTCGACCGGGGTGATTCGCCGCCGATAGCTGCCCGGGTGCAGTCCGATCAGCTTCCCGGTGATTCCATAGCTTCGGCGGCTTAGATTCGATATCCCGTGACCGAGATCCAGCGTCGCCGGGTTGATCCGCAGCTAGCTGCCCGTTATTGGAAAGTCGCCGTGATCCGAGGTAGGTTCCCGGCGCGTGGATGGCT